AGGATCTGCTGAAAAGACTAAATAAACAAAAGATTCTATATTTTTGTATAATTTCAGAACCTACCTATTTTGCACAATAATATAAGAAAGAGTTTTTTATGAGATGTTTTGTCAAGGGGGAAAGTGCAGGTTTGGAACCCTCAGCACCTTGCCACTTTTTTAGCACCTCAGCACTTTCTCAACACCTTCTCAGCACCTCAGCACCTTCTCAGAACCTCAGCACCTTCTCAGCACCTCAGCACCTTCTCAGCACCTCAGCACCTTCTCAGCACCTCAGCACCTTTTTCAGCACCTTCGCACTTTTTCAGCACCATCTCAGCATCTCAGCACTTTTTCAGTACCTTTTGGTATTAAACATCATATCCTTTATATGAAAATAATTCACAATAACTAATTTTATTTTCAATTATGCGAACAAAACATTCTCTCAGATGTACATAACATGAGAAAAATATACTCCAAAAACAAATATTAAAGTTTTTTCACAATATTTAATGCAAAAGACAAAGAAAAACGTTTATGAAAAGAAAATTTAATGCTGCTGTTCCGACTTTTTAACACGTTCTAAACGATCACTAGATAACCGATTTTTTGTGTCTGTTAGTAACCAACATGCTGTTTGTTTATGCAAGTATTTTACAGATGAACCTATTCGAATACGAAAATATTTATTTATATTTTGTGGATTAATTTTGTCGTATATTCGGCAACCTTGGAAATTATGTCGTTCTACATCAGGAAGACTTGTTACAATATTTCCTTCGTCATCTTCATCATCTGTACCATTCGTTGATAATCTATCATCATCATCAAGTAATTCGGAATTATTTTCATCGTTATCTGATTCGTCTTCATCACTATCTTTATCAAAATCAATACCTTCTGTATAATCAATTACTTTTGATGATGATTTACTTATATTCATTTTTATAAATCGACTTAATTCAGGTAATGTGTAAATATTTTTATTAATCAATAACTTGGTCATATTGACCATTGTTACATATTGTTTAGCTGATTCAAACGCATTTTTAATTATTTCTTCAATATCAGATTCTGTTAAATCTAATTGTTTAATACGATTTATTGAATAATTATGTATTTCTTTATCAGTCTTATGATGTTGTGGAAATTTAAAACTATAATTATCAACTTGTCCTTTATGAGATTTGATTGAATCAATGATTGATATTTTTTCGCATCTTTTAATGAAGGACTTAACAGTAAAGTTATTGTTTGATGAATAAGGACCTGATAAAGCTCGAGCAATACGAAATGTGTTTTCGCATCCTTGTGAATTAAACAAATATGTATTAAGTGCGTCAATAGGTAATTTATTATTAATTACTAAAAGAATCATATAAAGTAATGTATGAGCATTTATTTCAATGCACCAAAATGTCGGTTTAGTAATAAAACTGTTTGCTTTTCTCTTTTGTATTGAATCCGAATTATCATCCTCACTAATATCCTTTATTTTCAAATTCTGTATCCATGCCCACCAAAATCTACAAGTAAAGACTACTGTCCATATATGATATAATCGTTGTTCAATTGTTGTTGGTTTATCAATTAATCCAGTTATAATTGAATGTAATAAAGAGAGATATATAAATGTTCCTTTACAATTTTCATTCTTATTTAACAAGTTTAAAACTAAATCAGAAGATATACGGCGACACGAAGCAAAATTCTGTCGGTCTTTAGGACAGACGTCGCATTTTATTAAATTGTGATCGATTTTATTTTTTAAAGCAATTAAATTCATTAAATGTTGAATATCAATTGAAAAATCTCCCATCTTCATTGATGCTACTTCAGAAAGGAGCCGGTTTCGGAATTTTGTTGCAATATGAGTCGAGTCTTGCATAAAAAGCAAAAGCTGTTGTTCCTTCATAAGAAACCACGACCATTGATCAGGTATCTTTATATGAAAATTATCATTATGTTTAAATAAATTTAAATTAGGTAATTCGGCAAAAAATCGACTGCATAACCTCATCGCTCTAAGATAACGTGCATCTCCATCTGTGCTGAAACCTATTACACGTACACCCTGTACTGAACATTGATTATGAATATATAACCATCTTTTTAAGATATCTGTTGCTGTCACCTTGTTATCTGATCCGTATGTCGATAAGATAAACGGAGGAGCTGATGATACTACTGACTGTATCATATGGAGATTAATCAATTTTGATTTATTATATTTTTCAAACCACATTTTTAATTCTTCAAAATTATCTGTTCGAAAAAAAGTTGGCTTTGGCACTCCATCAATTAAAGGTGATGATAAACCAATGAAAGAATTTATTTGTGCATCATAATCAATACGGCAAACAGAACTGGTACAATCTTCAGAAGCAAATACATAACTACAGTTATTTGATTGTGAATATTCTTTTAACAATTTAAATTGGAATTTGCATTCAATTATTCTCGCTTCCTGATTTCTCATTAATGATTCTATGTTAGATATATGTGGTAATGCACCAGGTAAGTTTAATCGAAGAAATTCATAACAATTTCTTCCACCAAGAATAAGCAACAATAAAGCAAATTGTTGAATATGATTATCATAACTAAATTTATTCTTCGATTTTTTAAAGTTGTCAAAGATATTTTTTATCCATGGAATAACTATCGGAATATTATCCTCATTCGATGAACTAAATGAATGCTTCCATAATTCTGTTAATTGTCTTAAAATATCATCTTCTATTTGATTATGTGTTAGCTGAAGACTTTTGACAGATGAATTTTTCTTCGATTTGACTAATGAAAATAAACGTTCAAGTAAATTCTGAAAACCCAGTCGAAGATGAAAATTTCCATCAACTGAAACAAATCCAAGTGCTTTTTTTAAATAATTTAATTCGACAACATCAAAATTAAGTATCTGTATTAATTCATCGACTGATATTGATGATAAAGAAGACATATCTCGAACAGCTTGTATTCGAAAAAGCTCGCACAAATCTTTATTTAAAGTAATTTCTAAAAAGTTGTAGAAGGTATCGTGGCTTAATTTCATCATATCATCTGTTAATTCATGAAGCTGAAAAATATCCATTGTTGATGCTATATAGATATTGTTCTTTGTAAAAATAACCTATTGCTCATAAAACTAAATATGAGAAAAGTGTTTTAATCAATCTATTTGATAGTAAGTTAACAGCTCTTTATTCTAAATCAATATAGATACAATCATGAATAGTTTCTTTTCAAATACAGATATGATAATCTACACTCCTTTTATCTCACTGTAAAATTCATAAAATAGAAAAAAGCAGATCCTCTTTTTTAGCAAAGAAAAATAAATAGTTATATATAAACAAAAAGCTTTCAAAAATTGATATCAAATCGACTAAACAATAAAAGTTTTTTCTATATCTTCATACATTCAAATAAAAAACAAACACGATTAACTATTTATAAATGTGTTTCTACTATCACGATGAATCAATTATTCTTGAGATGAATCTGTATTATTTGTTGATAATATTCTCTTCTTTTTAACCATACTAGTAACAGTTTTTGAAGATGTTTGTACTGATGGTGAACGAGTTCGTTTTGAAGTGACATTAGCTGATGTTTTCTTCTTCTTCGATACCGTATTTAATGAACGATTTGATGAATTTGATTGACTTGCAGCTGAGTCTTCATCAATAATAACAGCATTTTCTTGTCCATATTTCTAAATGTATAGAAAATCATAGTGATATTGTATAAAGAAAATACTCACCATCTTCGGGAGTTTTATACATTGTTTTTCTTTGACATGTCGATAAAATGATGACAGTTTGAATAAACCTGGTGTGACAAATGGTAATTTAAATCGATTCTGACATTTACATGTCAAAATACAAGCATATGTATCATTTAATGATTTATTGATTTCTAAAACATAATGTGTACCTTCATTTAAAGATGAACCACCACTATCCATTGAACTCCACCATTTGTTAATTCTATTTTCAATATCAGCAATATGATCAAGTTCATTTAGTTTTTTTTGTAATGTTGTTAATCTTGATCGTGTTAATGATGTATCATTTTTCGATGGAATTGATGGTAATGTAGGAAGTTCAATTTGCGTTTCGTCTGTTGTTTCATTTGATGTTCCAACTAATGTTTGAGTTTGTGGTTGTGGTTGTGTTCGATTAATAGATAAAGGTTGAATCGAAGATTTTTTTTTCTTTTGTTGTTGTTGTTGTTTTATCTTTACCAACTCGATAAAATTTTTTAATGCTAATTTAACACCTAATTTTATTTTATATTTATCACCAGCAATTTGAAAACAACATAAGTTTTTCAATACTTTAATGTCATTGGATTCTAATTGTAAAATTGATATGATGTCATCGCATGATGTATTTAACAAATGTGTTGCGTTTCGAATCGCTTGAAAACGAAATAATTCAGCAAGATCAATGCCATATTGTTGTTCAATAAATTCATAAAATCTTTCGTGATTGTAAGTAAAAATATCTTCGGGTAAATCATTTTTATCAACTATTGCTTCGGCAATGATTAACGACATTATTAAAGTGAAAAAATTATTCTTAAAGGAATATCAGAAATTTCGAAAATTTCTCATTGGACATTCGGTGTATTTACTAGGATTGTAATATAATAGTGAGTCTGATAGATAGCGCTGTCAGCCAATCATATATTATTACTTTAGTTGATATACTGTTTTTAAAAATCTATCAGCAGCTGAGTACCGTCTCAGCATCTCAGCACCTTCTCAGCATTTTCTCAGCACCTCAGCACTTTCTCAGCACCTCAGCACTTTCTCAGCACTTTCTCAGCACCTCAGCACTTTCTCAGCACCTTTCATGGAAATTTGGTGCGGTGGTGCAGCACTTTCCCCCTTGTGTTTTGTATTGTGTCTCAATCGATTTAGGCAATGTTCATATCTGTAGACATGGACAGAAAGGAGAGAAGACACGGAAGAGTTTAACAATTAGAAAGGAGTGATGGCATTGCCTTGCATTC